GTCTCCATCGGTCTCTCAGTGAGTTTTGTCCCTGAAATGGTTTTCACTTCACACACTTCAGTGTAAAGTGACCAGCAGAGTCAGAAATGTCAAAAATGTCCCAGGTGTCTCTATTTTTGACCAATCTGATCTCTAACAACAGTAAAAAGAAACATAAACTGACATTTATTTTGGTAAAAATGACCAAAAAGACCCACTTTTACTCTGTGGCTTTTAACGCCTCGTGAGTTGTGTCGTCCTCTGTGTCTTTTATTTAATTTTATCTCGTTATGTATGATTTACTGTCTTTTATTGTATTAATTTGTCTGCAGCATTTTGGAAGTTTATGATTTCATGTTTAAATTAAATAAAATGTTGGAAAATGTGACTCTGACTCACAGGTTGGTCCGAGCGCAGAACGTTTCTCCTTAGTTACGCACTCGCTTCACAGTTTTATTATTTCCAACCAGAAGTCGGGACTTGGACTCGAGTCAGACTTGAGTCACTGTTTTTAGGACTTGAGACTTGACTTGATAAAACAGACCGAGACCTGGGACTCGACTTCAACTCGAAGCTCAGTGACTTGAAGTTGAGCCTGTGACTTGAGAAGACTTTTTTTTTTTTATTCTGAAGACCGTGACTTTTTAAAGTTCAGTTTATCTTAAGTCACATAAACTGCAAAAGTCTAGTTTGGTTTTAAGACTTGAAATGACTTGACTCAAAATAGACGACTTGGACTTGAGTTGGACTTACGAACCAGTGACTCAAAACTCGACTTAGACCTGTATTTGACTTGGGACTTGAGGTCAAAGACTTGAGACTTACTCGGGACCTGCAAAACAACGACTTGGTCCCAGTTCTGTTAAAAAGCAGCACAAACGGAGAATGTGCTGGTCTTGATTTAGAAATCTGGTCACTCTAATTTAAGACGGTCTTAAAATGACAAAAGTGATTTAAAGAGCAGGTTTTCAGGAGCCTGCGGTCAGTTCGAGCGTCCGTGGTCGTGTTTAGGAGTTTGATTTTCAACTAAAAGGTGAAAATGACAAACTGAAGCGTCACACGTCCAGGAGAAAGTTGAGGATCAGATGTAAAAGATCAATCATCTGCATCATCGTGGAGATAAAGAAGAACCACGACTGAAAGTGTGTCCGAGCTTTCGCCTGGTGGAGTCCGGACTGAGACCCGGACCGAGACCCGGACTGAGACCCGGACCGAGACCCGGACCGAGACCCGGACCGAGACCCGCCCTGTCTCTGCCGTGGGCTTTAAGGAGCAAAGGGAGGATACATCACATGCCCATAATAATCTGTGATATTTACAACGAGACAAAGTGAAAACTATTTGGAAACATGTTTTTTAGAATTTTAGGTTTTGTGTTGCAGTTTCACCAGCAGAAGTGTCACCAGACCCAAAACCTTTGTTCGTTTGGTTTTGAGAGAAACAAGACGGAGTTTAATACTTAATTTTGTTTCTTCACTAAAACTGACACTTTAAAAAAAAAAAACTGTGACAAGGAATGAAAAATATTATAACCAGGACTTTAATCTGGTTTAGTTCTGGTTTAGTCCTGGTTTAGACTTGGTTTAATCCTGGTCTAGTCTTGGTTTAGTCCTTGTGTAGTTTTGGTTTAGTTCTGGTTTAGTTCTGGTTTAGTCCTGGTTTAATCCTGGTTTAGTCTTGGTTAAGTCTTGCTTTAGTCTTGGTTTAGTCCTGGTTTAGTCTTGGTCTAGTCTTGGTTTAGTTCTGGTTTAGTCCTGGTTTTGTCCTGGTTTAATCCTGGTTTAGTCTTGGTTAAGTCTTGATTTAGTCTTTCTTTAGTCTTGGTTTAGTCCTGAATAAAACTTGGTTTAGTTCTGGTTTAGTCTTGGTTTAGTTCTGGTTTTGTCTTAGTTTTAATTCTGGTTTAGTCTTGGTTAAGTCTTGCTTTAGTCTTGGTTTAGTCCTGGTTTAGTCTTGGTCTAGTCTTGGTTTGTTCTGGTTTCGTCCTGGTTTAGTCCTGGTTTAATCTTGGTTTAGTCCCGGTTTAGTCCTGCTTTAACACCGTTTGATCCTAGTTCATCTGATCCAGGTGTGGTCCTCAGATCAGCCCCGAGTTTAGTCCTGGTTCAGTCCTGGTTTGGTCTTGGTTTATTTCTTTAGGTTTATGGTTTAAAGATGATTTTACTCTGGTTCTGCAGGTCCAAGTCGAGTCCCGTTTTAATTCTGGTCCTGGTTCAGTCCTGGTTTAGTCCAAAAATCCTTGCTTCACAACTGTAACTAGAGTTTCTTTCAGTTTCTTTTAAACCCACAAAACCCCTCGCAGACTTTAAGGTTCAATCATCATCATCGTGACTAAAGTTTTGGGAGTCGTGAACATTCCTGCTGGACTTGAACGCACCACCGAAAGCTAAGAGTTAAATATTAAAGATTAGATACTGGTTATAGTTGTGAAACGGTGAGTAAATGTCCAGAGCGTGAGCGTCGTTTGTGTAAAAATACAAGCGTCTCTGTGAGTCCTTCACTTCAGTCTCACTCTTCATCATCGTCTTCATGGTTTTGCATATTATTCTGTTTTGACACTGCTGAGTTAAAACGGCTTCAACTCAAAATGTTTCCTCTTGTTTTGAGCAGTTTGGACAAGTTGTTGCTTCACACGTCACTTCACACTTTTTTTTTTGTTTTGTTTTGAACCTTTTTGGTAAAAGCTTTTCACTTAAAGAGGCACTGTGTAACATTTCTGATGGTCTGTCATGTTTGAATTTATTGTAACTTGGTTTGGGACAGATGTATTTCAACGAGATTTGATTAATACGATAAATATTTTTAAGAATTATGAATTACTCACACAGATTGTCGTCATCTGCTCCTCTGGTCAGAAAATACAATATTCTGACAAGATTTACTGTAAACTTATATTGTATTCGTCTGTTCGTGTACAAGTCTGTGCATTTGTCAAACGTTCTTCATCTTCTCTTCACATGTTCACACCTAAACTACAAGACGCTGCACAGACTTTTATCTTCCCTTGTGCAGAACTTCCACGAATCAAAGAAAACTCAAGTTCAGAGCGTCGACCGTCTGGAATCATTTATTTATTTAATCCTCTCAAATCTATTTCCTCACTGGACTTTTTTAAAAGACAATTAAGACAAACATTGATTTGTGATGCTGTTTAGTATCTGAACTACTGACAGTCGACTTGTTTGTTCATGATGTTGTGATAAAATCATGTTTAGAGGGGAGATGATTTTATAAAACCAATAAGATCTTCTCCTTCTCTCCTGAACAGTCAATTCTGCTTTTTATCTCTTCAAAATGTTGTTTTTAATATACGTGCAAATAAAATCTGTCTATCTAATGTTGAAATGCTTTGCCCAGAATGTTCCACAGTGTTCAGATGTAAGGTGACCAGGAGGGAGCATCATTTTTGAAACTTTTTTTGAAAAGCAATCTGTCCCTAATATTATTTTTTTTTACATTTGCCAAAGTAAACTTTTGTGAGAAATTTCATGAAATTCTCTTGATGTTTACTGGATCCACCGAGCCTCTGGATCTGTGGCCTTAAATCTGAGCTGAAAATTCTGTTTTTCTTTAATAACATCCTCAGTTTTTCTGGAAACTTTGGGTTTTCACTGAGCCGTCTATGATCACGACAGAAAGAACAAACTTTGTGTCTCTCATTTCATCTTTGGCCTTTGTGGATTTTGGATCAACTCAAAATCTTGACAAAATTGTCTTAGAACGTTGGTAACTGGTACCAAAAGATGCGCAATACCAACATTTATATTCAACTTTAATTGACTCCATGGACATAAACAAATTATTTTGAAAGTTATTTGAGAAAAACAGATTTTTCTGCCAGAGTTTTATGGACACTGTTGGCATGGAACTTAAGAGTCTTTGGTGGACCCAGTAGATTTTATTCACTTGAGCAAATTTTGTCACATTTTTAAAATTGGGCACAAATTGAATTTCTGACACTGGACCAGTCGTCTCTGTTTCCCCGGGACAGTCCCAGATTTGAGCCTGTGTTCCCTGTCCCAGCAGATTTATACAAAACCACTGATTTGTCCCACAGTTTTATACAAGAAATGTCCCAGTGTCTCTATTTTTGACCAATTTAATCCGTGTCGACAGTAACAAGACTCATAAACTGTCATTTGTTTAGTTAAAATGCAGAAAAACGACCAAAACACAAAGAAAATGTGATTATACTGACTCAACAATTTTCCTTAATTTCGCACTCGTTTTACAATTTTATTATTACCAACCACCACAAATCGAAAGGATCCCAGTTTTTTATTTTGAAAATCTGGTCACCCTTATGTTTAGCAAGTTACAGGTCAGATCTGTGGAGAGGAGAGCCCACAAATAGAAGCAATACATGTTTTTTGGAGGGTTTTTTTAGCAATAAAATAACAAGTGGATTTTTTTTTCTAGACAAAGCATTAAGATCTCTTCAGTGAATAAAGTTGGGTTCTTTTTGGGCCTTTAAAAAATTTTTGTTCTTGTTATTTCTACTGTGATTTCATTAAAGGTATATGTTCCAAAATGTCTAAATCTAAGTTACATAGTGCACCTTTAAATGGTCAGCTAAATAAAAGGAAAAATAATCATAATATTGTGTTAAGTGATTAAAAAATGATTCAAACCAGTCAAAAAAATTTGAAAAATTATAGAAAATCAAAATAAATCTTGTCAAAGTGACTCAAAATCAAGCTTCTATTCTGAATTCAAGCCGATTTTAACTTGAAGCCGTGCGGTGATGAGCGTGAAATCATTGTCTCAGGCCGTACGTTTACACTACATTTCTACCAAGCGATGGTTAAATCTACAAATACAAAAAAAGGTACAAAAACCGATGCATTCGCTGTGTTTTCCGAAGTGCATCTTCTGTAAAGTTCGTTATGCATACATCCAACTGTGTATGGAGACTGGAAGCTATAATACGTGAAAGTTTCAGGAGGGAGACAGCGGGGGACATGGGTGAAATCATCTGAGGTATAAGGGAGCAGCAGTCGCTTTTGTGCTCGTTAAAAGTTCTACGATTCAGTTTTCTCCTCCGTTTTCTCGCTGATTGTTTCATGGACCACGATGGGACTGGGGACGTAGTTAAACGGCGTCACTCTCGCGGATTTGCTCGGAGACCCTTGGCGAAAATGCACCGCCCCTTGCGTTTGCGGCATTTGCGATGCTTCGAAATCTCCGTCCTTCTTGCTGAATTTGTCTTCCGAGTTTTTGGGAGCTTTGTCGACCATCGGCGAAGTGCACGAGTTGGTTTTGTGGCTGTTGACGTCTTCGGTTTGGACCGTGGCGTCGCTCGTTTTTCGCGACTCCAGTAAAATCGTCGGCAGCTTCCCCAGCGTCGGGAGTTTCGCCTTTTCCTCGACGGGGGAAGGCACGAGCGGCAACGCGTTCTCCGGCAGCGTGCTTTTCAGAATCTGAGGCACGTCTTCGTCGCGAATCCGCCGCCACGTTACTCTGCTGTCGCTTTTACGCGTTTTGCCGCCTTTCTTTTTCGTATCGTCGCGTTCGCTTTTGGCTCTTCCGCTGGAGTCGGAAGAGGAGGAGCGCAGGGAGGACCGGCTGGTGACGCGACTCAGGAGGTTAATACTCGGAGACGAAGCGTGCCTCTTAAATGTGTCGGTTTCTTGCTGCGGTTTGACGCGATTGTTGTTCATTTTGTTCGTAGTGTTGCGCTGCGCGGCTCTACACGGGCTTTCGGAACTGGTTCTCCGCGCCGTACGTCTTGTCGCGACGTCTCTTTCACTTGAAATCGCACGAGAATTCACGGTTTTCCTCTCAATTGTCGGGTTTTGCTTTTGGACTTGCTGCTCTTTGGGCGGCGCGGTCTTTGTCGGTTCGCTCGACTTCGATGGAATCCTTTTCGGAGGCTGGACTGCGACTTTTAGCTCCTGGCATCGCGACGAGCAGAGGAACACAGCGGTCGCTGGCGCCGCCCTACGAGGGGAGCCGTTTTGAGACCCGGGAGTGTTCCTACCGGATCCGTCTCGCCTGATTCCCGTCTTTGAGTCTTTGATAAACGTCAGCTGCCTCATGAACCCGTTTCGGTCCGATTCTCCGCCGCTCGAATGCGCCGATGACATCCTCATCAGGTCAAACCGATTTGGCGGCCTCCTCGTGCTCATTTGATTATTGTTATTATTCTGTCTCGTCATCGTCTGATTGGTCACGAGCGGAGAAAGGGGGCGTGGTTGTCTTCCCGCTTGCATAAACGGAATCCGAACGGGTGATTTTTGCGTTTTGGGCGGTGGAGACTTTTCATTTTGGTTCACGACCGGAGAGCGCCCCCGTCTTTCTGGCGGGCTCGTCGCGGGAGGACTGATGCTCGGCGAGGAGTTCTTCTTTTGAATCGGTTTATTCATCTGAACTGGCGACGTGACCTTTTTCGGCGGCGTTTTGGAAGGCGTGGAGCTCGAAGAAGATCCTGAAGAGGTGCTTTTCGGAATTCTCGGCGGCGGAGTTGAACTGCGTTTCGGCAAAGACCACTCTGTATCTTGAGGTCTTCCAAGTCTGTGTAAACTTTTAGACCGGTGCTGAGCTAGTTCTGGATTTTTGGGCGCGTCTGAATCGTTTTTTCTAGGAGGAGGTCTTTGCGAGGGCGGGTCTTCCTTTTTAGGCGTATAGATCACCGTTCGACCTCGGAACACCACCGGGAAATTCGGCACGGGTTTACGTTGCGCGAAATCAAGCGGTTTGTTCGGCTTCTTTTCTTTCGCGAACTTCCTCTCTTTTGGCGTGAAACTCGACGTAGACATAAACGAAAGCACCGACTCCGTTTCCTCCGACGACGGCTCTTGGGATTTCGACGCCTGGAGCCCCGTCACGACCGAATTCGCGCCTTCCTGTATCGCCCTCCATTCCACGCTGTTCAGATCGGATTCTTTGTCCCACGCCATGTCGTCGCTGTCCAGCTCCTCGTCGATGCTCCACACGTCCGCGGACCTCTGCCTCTGCTTCTCCGCCTTCTTTTTCCTCGCGGACATTTTGCGTCGCTGCTTCGGCATGGCGGACGTGATGCACCGTTGCAGCAGATCGTCCTCCGAGTCCAGACTCACCGAACTGGGCGAGCTCTGTTCTTCGTACGGGCTGTGGATCAGCATCGATTTGCTGTGCTGCGTCATGTTTTTGTTGTGTCGATTCTTAAACCACACTTGCTGCGCTTTGGCTTTGTGATCTTCAAACTCGGCGTCGCTGAGGGAGCTGAGCGACGAGCTGAGAGAGTAGCATCCCGCGGACTCGTCTTTGATCAGATTCTGTTTGATCCGATGAAAACCTCTTGCTTTTTGCGAATTTTCAATGCGTCCGATGTTGGTCATACTCTTGGACAGCGTGTTCCTGCTCGCCTCCCTCAGCTGCTTTCTCGTTGGCCGTTTCGCGAGTTCTTTGTCGTCGTAAAAGCTGTTACTATCCTCTGACGAGTTGCGCTTGTGATGGTACGTGCGTTCGCTTTGGCATCGCAGGTTCAAGTTACTTTCAGAGTTGTGTTTGATTACGGGAAGCTCCATCTTTCTCACTTGCATTTTTCGTTGCTGAATCGGCGACAGGTTTCGTTGACTGGCCACTCTGTCCGCTACCTCTTTACTTTGCATCAGAACCCTTTGCGTCGGCACCACGTGTTTGCTCATCCTCGTAAGCTGTATGTCCGGTTGGTAGCTCGCTCTGTTCGGTTTGTGAAAATGCGAGAAAATCCTCAAATCCTCAATTCGTTTCGCGTCGTCGTCCATCGGTTCTTGCTTCAGACCTTTCGCCGTGCACTCTTTGGCGCCTCTCTCTTTCACCGAATACTGCAAAGTTTCGTCGCTGAGTGAAGTCGTGCTGGAGAAATTCACCGCCGTGTTTTCAGCCGAATCGGAATCTTCGAATTTGTCTTTTTGCGGCATTACGATGCGTCTCCCGTGGTACATTTGCGTTTTTCCGTTCGGCAGCATGTAAACGGGAAGCTGCATTTGTTTTCTCATCTGCGGGTTGAGCATGTGCGGCGGGACGGTCATTAAAGACGGTCTTAATTTTCTAAACCTGGACGGCATCGCGGAGTTGATGCATTCTTTTAGTATTTCGATATCGTCATCCGAGTTTCCTTCACTGTATCGCTCGTTTTGCCCGGGCTCTTCCTCTTCGTAGCAAGCGTTTTTATCATTTTGAAGCAGTGGCGTTAGTTTCAGCTCCACGTCTTTCTGAATGTAGTGTTCGTGCAACGGTAACGCGCTCAAACTCGACGCACACGAGAAATTTTCGGTCGGTTTCTCCACGGTAAAGTAAATCATCGCATCTAGATCCGACGGGTTGAATCTTTCTTTCGAATCTGTGATTTCCATGAACTTTCTTATGCTCGTTTCCCACTGACCCATCGGCTGCATTTCGGGCACGTTTTGCTCACCGTAACACGGCGTTTTGCTGCGACTTGGCGGCATAGTTTGACCGGGACTGTCTGGTAAATCGCTCGGGCTTATCGTACCGTCGATCATCTCGCTGCAGGGATCGCTCTGAATGGAACTCGCGATGGACGGAGATTCGAAACTCCCTAATGAACTCACGGAACTGCACCTGCTCATCACCAGCGGCGTCTCGTGGATGTAATTTTCGGACGAGCTCGACGGAGACCTATCCTCGAGTATCGTATTTTGCGAGCCACGGAGGAACACTTTCTCCCTTTTCGCCGGACACGGAATCGCGATCGGAACCGTTTCTTTGCTTGGGAACGTTTTGGAATCGGTCACGAGCAGCTGGCTGTCGCTCAGATCCTCCAAAGTCTCGTCTTCTTCCGCGTTTTTCAGCACCTCTCCGTCCTCGACTTCGATAATCTCCAGTGACGAATCGCTGTCGAGCTCGTTTTCGCTTTGCACGTCCAGCGCTCCGACGCCGTCCCCTTCGCCCGACGAAAGCGAGGACAGCGAACTACAGCGCGAGAAGCAAATCGGCGTATTCTCGACGGAGTATTTCTGAACGGTCTCCATGGGGCCTATCGTGGGACTTCTCGTTGACGTCATTGGCGAAAACTTGGTCATGCTCCCTCCCGTCATCGCCGTCGGCACCCAGGCTTGTCTGCGCATGGCCTGAGCCGCTTGGACGTTTATGGTCGTTTTCGCGACGCCGAATTTCGCCACACTCTGGATGAGCGGGACTTGTTGATACGACGGCGACAGCTTTATGGAGGTCATGCTGACATCGGAGGACATTTTTGTTGACGCGCTGACGGGAGTTTGAACCGGCTGCTCTTGGTTTTTCTCCGCTTCGGTTAAATTAAAATCTTGCGTTTTAATTTCTTCGTTTCCCATCGTGTCTCTCTCTGGTATCTCTTGTTCGGTTGTTTCGTTTTGAACGGCGTTGATCATGTTTAGCAGCTGATCGTGCGCCACCTTCAGGTCGAGTTGGTTCGGTCGTTGCTGTTGGATTACGACGGGTCTCGGCGCGACAGGTTGAATCTGATCTTTACTCCCGCAATACCCGTCGCTGCTGCCGCTGTTCAGACTGTCCGTGGAGACGCTCGAGTGCGCCGCCTTGAGCCGTAAAAGTGCGTGCGCACGGCTGAAGCGATCTCGTTGCACCAAACTGCTCGTATCGGAAAAACGGCACGGCGAACAGGACATCGCTCGGCCTTCGTTTAACTCGTCCATGCTGTACGGCCAGTCCGCGAGGTGATCTTCGGAGCTGAGACTCAAACTATCCTCTGACGAAGTATGCATGGTGATATCGTCAACCAATCTGTCAATTTTCGCGACGGTGTTCGTGATTTTCTTCGCCAACTTCTCCGCCGCGGCTGACACGACATCGTCTTCCGCGGGGGCGATTTGTCGGATTTTTTGCGGCGGTTCCACGTCTCTCTCCGGTTTGTTGTTTTGCTTTTGCGCTTGGTTTTGGATCAGATTCGAATTGGAGAGGAACATCGACAGCATCGAGAAGCTTCCGGTCTCCAAACTGCTGGACATGTTGGGCCCTTCGTCGTCGTCGAAGCAGCCGGAGTCCGAGGCGTAGTCCTTGGCGAGACTTTCGATGTGGCGCAGCGGTTTGTGAAGAGCCAGGTGTTTCGGGCTTTGCTTTTCTATCGTGTCGAAAGTCTCCGCTAAGTGTTTGGCGTCCAGCTCGGCCTCCAGAGCTTTCTGTTTCCTCATGTAAAGCGACGGCATGCAGGATCCGGGCGACACCACGGCCGTATCTTTGTATTTGAGCGGCCGGTTGGTGAGCAGGTTCCTCAGGGCCGCGGCGCTGCCCATGGCGATCATCTTGTGCTTGGAGTGGATGAGGTTTCGGAGCATGCTGACGGCGCCCATGTCCCAGAGCAGCTCCTGGTCTTTGGGGCTGCGGGCGGAGAGGTTCCACAGGGTCCCGCAGGCGTTTCCCACGATGGTTAAGCTGTGGGAGCGCAGGTGCTGGAGCAGAGTCTGCAGGCAGCTGTGGTCACGCAGGACTTGTCTGTGGAGAAACGAGAGACACGGTCAGGAAAATGAAAACGCTTTTATTTGACAAACACGTCCAAGTCAAAGTGTGTCATTCGTTCATTTGTTTTTCGAAATAAAACCAAAAATAAGAAAACGGAAAAAATATATATATATATTTTGTTTATTATTTGTCTAAAAAAACTAAATGAAAAAAGGGACAAAGGATAACAATTTGTTTTTTCAGTTTTTGATTTTGTGTTTAAATGAAAAATGGAAAAAACGGATAACGGCCGTTTACGTGACTTCCTTAACTTGCGATGCCAGAATTTTGCACCGCATATGGACTGAATCGGGACTAAACCAGGTCCAGGATCAGACCGGGACTGAGACCAGGACCAGGACCGAGATCAGACTAGAACTGAGACCAGGATTGAGACCGGAAACAGGACCAGACCGGGACTGAGGCAGGACCAGACCGGGACCAGACCGGGACTGAGACCGGGACCTAGACTAGGACCAGACTGGGACCAGACCAGGACTGAGACCGGGACCTAGAGTAGGACCAGACTGGGACCAGACCAGGACTGAGACCAGGACCTAGACCGGGACCAGACCAAGACCAGGCCGGGACTGAGACCAGGACCAGACCAGGACTGAGGCAGGACCAGACCGGGACCAGACCAGGATCGAGACCGGGACCAGACCAGGACTGAAAAAGGTTTAGTCCTGGTTTAGTCCGGTTTTAGTCCTGATTCAGTCCATATGCGGCGCAAAAGTCACGTGAACGGACCGTTATGTGTTCTTCATTTAAAAAAAAATCAAACGATGAGGCTGTTTCTGTGTGCGTGTGTGTGTTTGTGCTGTTCGTGTTTGTGTTGTGTGTGTTTGTTGTTGTTTCTGACCTGTAGTCCTCTCTGGTGGCGCTGAGGCTGTTTCGTGTGACCTGTGTTTTTGTGCTGTTTGTGTATTTGTTTGTGTGTTTGTGTTGTTGTTTCAGACCTGACCTGTAGTCGTCTCTGGTGGCGATGAGGCTGTTTCGTGTGTGTTTGTGCGTTCGTGTTTGTGTGTTTGTTGTTGTTTCTGACCTGTAGTCGTCTCTGGTGGCGCTGAGGCTGTTTCGTGTGCGTTTTGTGTGTTTGTGTTTGTGTGTGTTTGTTTGTGCGTTTGTGTCTTGTTGTTTCTGACCTGTAGTCGTCTCTGGTGGCGCTGAGGCTGTTTCGTGTGCTGTTTGTGCGTTCGTGTTTGTGCGTTTGTGTGTTGTTTCTGACCTGTAGTCGTCTCTGGTGGCGATGAGGCTGGACACGTTCCTCAGGATGCCTCCTCCGCTCTCGATGATGGCCAGAGAGTTGGTCTGGCAGCGGTAGGTCAGCGTGCTCACCAGGAAGCCCAGCGCTCCCTCCACCGAGCAGATGGACGCTTTGTTATCGATGCTGTGAGCGGAAAGGTTCCACAAAGCGCTCAGCAAACTCTTCAACGTCGACTCCTGCGGACGGAACATCACAGACCGAGTCAAACATGAGCAGAGCGACCAGACTTTCAAAATAAAACTAAAGGAAAACGGTTCTGGACTCATATGAAGTAAGAAAGTTTTCAGAATTATTTGTGTTTATATTTGTCTGTAGTTGAGCGTAAAATAAATCTTGTTAAACTCTGGAATAAGTCGAGTCGAACATAAAAAGTCTTGTGTGAATTTTATCATCAGAATAAGAACTGAAAAGTTACGATGCCAAGAATTAAAATCACCACATGAAAATGTACGATTAAACTTTCTTCAGAACGAACACGAATTCACAGACACAAGGACTAAATCAGGACTAAATCCCAAAGACTGAACCAGGACTAAATCAGGACTGAACTAGGACTAAAACGGGACTAAACCAGGACTGAACCACAAAGACTAAACCAGGACTAAACCAGGACTGAAACACAAAGACCAAACCAGGACTGAACCAGGACTTAAACAGGACTAACACAGGACTAAAATACAAAGACTAAACCAGAACTAAATCAGGACTGAACTAGGACTAAACCAGGACTAAACCAGGACTGAACCACAAAGACTAAACCAGGACTAAACCAGGACTAAAACATAAAGACCAAACCAGGACTAAACCAGGACTTAAACAGGACTGAACCAGGACCAAACCAGACCTGAACAGGACTAAAACAGGACTAAAACACAAAGACCAAACCAGGACTAAACCAGGACTGAACTAGGACTAAACCAGGACTAAAACACAAAGACTAAACCAGGACTGAACCAGGACTAAAACAGGACTAAAACAGGACTAAATCGGGACTAAAACGGGACTAAACCAGGACTGAAACACAAAGACCAAACCAGGACTGAACCAGGACTTAAACAGGACTAAAACAGGACTAAATCACAACTGATCCCAGAACTAAAACAGGACTAACACAGGACTAAAACACAAAGACTAAACCAGAACTAAACCAGGACTAAATCAGGGCTGAACAGGACTGAGTGTCGTTGCTATGTGTAGACTGTCAGGTGACCGCGGGCGAATGGACTGGCACAAAACTCTGTGCTCCAGATCAGTCCTGGTTCAGTCCTGGTTCAGTCCTGGTTTAGTCCTGGTTCAGTCCTGGTTTAGTCCTGGTTTAGTCCTAGTCCTGGTTCAGTCCTGGTTTAGTCCTGGTTCAGTTGTAAAAGTCCAACATTTCGATCGAACAATTATGTCTAATATTCCTGAAAGTTTTTTTACTCGATTATCAAGTCAAGTCCAAGTCGAGTCCCAGGTCTTACTCCATTTGATCAAGTCTCAAGTCCAAACTTCTGAAACTTTGAGTATCTTGAAAAGCGTTAGAAAAGCGTCATGTGTGTTTTGTTTCCTTCAGTTGACGTCCTGACTTGAAGCTGAGGTGTTTTTGGTTCGTTCGTACCTTGGTGGCCTGGAGCGCGCAGGTCATGAGCGCAGACACACAGCGGATGTCCCGGAGAACACGTTTACTGCTGATGTCCGCTCGCCACGAAAGGTTCCTGAGGACGGACGACACGACCTGGTGCAGCTCCTCACTGTCCGAGCCCAGCTGAGCCACCAGGGCCTGAAGACAACTCCTCCGAGAACACAGCGTCGCCTGGAACACGGAGAAACACATCAGAACAAGTGAAGACAACTCCGGCGGGAACACAGCGTCGCCTGGAACACGGAGAAACACGGAAAAACATGGAGAAATGTTATCAGAACGAGTAAAGACAGCTCCTACAGGAACACGGACAAACACATAAAGTTATCTTAAATATCACTATAGAACAGATATGAGCCTGAAGACAGCTCCTGGGAGAACACGTCGTCTGGAACTAAAAAAATCTTCATATATTGTTTTGAAAAAGCTGTATTTTTTATTCCACAACACTTGTTTTATCAGGTTGAATTTCTTCTGTTGATCTCGGTCCACCCTGCCTCTGCGCTGTTGTGTAGAGTGACCAGATTTTCAAAATAAGAAACAGGAACGTCGTGGTGGTTTGCGATAATAAAATTGTGAAATTACTGTAATTATGGAAAATTATTCTGCACTCAGCTCGAATGTGAGTCAGTATGTATGGTCGTTTTTAAGCAGCTTTTCTGTATTTTACCGAAACAAATGTCAAATGTTTATGTGGGCTTTCACACGAACAGTATTTGTTGCACCAAACGGTCGATTCGAATCAGAAGCTCTTAGTTCGTTTCTTTTCGTTGGTGTGAAAAGCTTCAATCGGACTCGGACCTGGACTAAATCAAGCGAACTGAGACCTCAAAAAAGAGGTGGTCTCGGTTCCACCAAATGTCAAACTTCGGTGCGGTTCCTCTGGTGTGAACACGAACTCAGGTCCAAACCACAGACAGTCGGTCCAAACCAACTATTCTAGATGCATCATGGGAGGGACACGTGTCTCTGTCTGAAACGACGCGCTGTACGACTCCAGTGTGATAACAGATTGTTGTTCAGACGCAGCCGCGACTCATTTATGAATTATTTTACCAACAATGACCAAAACAGAGAATGAAACACACGAAGATCAGAACAAGAACCAACGTGTGAACATGTGTCTCCAGAGTGAGTGTAAATTGTGGGTGTGTACGTGTGTTCAGGACCTGCACACACAGAGAGGTCCCGCTGTTCCCCGTGTTCACGCAGCAACAGCATTTGTTATTTTAGGCTTTAATTAACCAAATCATTTGATGGCAATAGACAATAGTCTATTCAACTGATTCAACTTTAAAAATGTCCTGCTTTTAGCCTCGTGTGAGAAATACAGTCAGACTAGATCCAAACCAGAGTCCTGACCCAGTGGGAGCAGCTCTGGTTCTGTCCGGGTCAGAGGAGCTGGAGCGGGGAGTGATGTCAGGAACCTGAGAAGAACTTTCCCCGAGAAGAACCAAGAGCACGAAGGACGAACGCTCAGAACAACATAAAACCAACAAACTGGACTCACACTTCTGTCCGGATGCTGCACCACCTCAGAACCAGCCGCGGTTCTGGAGCGCGGAGGACCGGAGCAGCCCGTCCGGACCTGTAGTCCACAGAACATTCTCACTTTCCCCACACGGAACCAGCGCACAGACGATGACACAGAACCACTCTGACCCAGACCATCAAACTCTGGTCTGACTCTCCCCCCGTCTGACCGAGACCGAGACCGAGGACCGAGGATGACCAGACCGAGACCAGACCAGACCAGACCGAGACCAGACCGAGACCAGACCGAGACCGGACCGAGACCAGACCGAGGACCGAGGACCAGACCGAGGACCAGACCGAGACCAGACCAGACCGAGGACCGAGGACCGAGGACCGAGACCAGACCGAGACCGAGGACCGAGGACCGAGGACCGAGGACCGGACCGAGGAGGACCGAGGACCGAGGACCGAGACCAGACCGAGACCAGACCGAGGACCGAGGACCGAGGACCGAGGAGGACCGAGGACCGAGGACCGAGGACCCAGGACCGAGGACCGAGGACCGAGGACCAGAGCCCAGCCCCGTCCTGAGGGTCTGAGCCGCGGTGATGTTCCTCTTTATCTCTGTTTCTGCTGCTGTTTCCCTCAGATCTTCTGCTCTGGGCTGATGTGGTGAGTTTGTACAAAGTTCTACATGTTGCTGTTTTCTGAGTTCATGGTGACAGGTTGAGGTGACGATGGTCCGTGGTCTGAACAGGAAACATCGGTGTTGATAACTGGAGGTGTTGGAGGTTTGTCGGTGAGAAAGCGGACCACACTGGAGTCTATCTGCTACGTAATAACGATTTTATGGTCTGGTGCGAAACAAATAATCGAACTAGTGATGTGAAAACGCCCTATGTCTCACTTTACTGTTGCAGGATCAGATCAGGTCAAAAATAGGGACACATGAGACAAATGAAATCGAATTCGAATGTCCCAGTGTCTCTATTTTTGACCTGATCTGATCCTGCAACACTAAAGCGAAACATAAACTGACATTTGTTTAGTTAAAATCCAGAAAAGCTGCTTAAAAACGACAAAAACACAAAGAAAATGTGACTAGACTGACTCGTTTTAAGGACTCGTTTCACAGTTTTATTATCACCAACCACCACAAACCGAGAGTCTCAGTTTTGGTGGTTGGAGCGGCACCTTGTTGACGACGTCTCCGAAGGTGAGGTTGGTGAGGGTCATGCCGGCGTAGCGTCTCAGGGCCATGTTGATGGGGTCGTTCTGCGTCCCGTACATCTCGTTCTCCAGGTGGATCAGGTCGGCCACCACCTGCAGGCCGCCTGAGGAACAGCAGCGAGAAGAACGTGAGCGCGAGAACACGACGAAAAGACAAAAACAAAACGAACTAGAGCCACGAGAAACATGCGCCGAACAGAAGAATACATGTGTCACTGGTTTATTTGATTTTCAAAATAAAACCAAAAGATAAGAAAAAAAAAACAAAAGCCTATTTTCTTCATTATTTGTTTCCAAAACCAAATAAACTTTTTTTTTAGTTTTCAATTTTGTGTTTTCGCCACATACGGACTGAACCAGGACTAAACCAGGTCTAAACCAGGTCTAAACCAGGACTAAACCAGTCTCAGTCCCAATGTCAGTCCGGGTCCTGGTCTTAATTCTGCTCTCAGCCCTGGTTTAGTCCTGTTTTAGTCCTGTTTTAGTCCTGTTTTAGTCCTGGTTTAGTCCTGGTTTAGACCTGGTTTAGTCCTGGTTTAGTCCTGGTTTAGTCCTGGTTTAGTCCTGGTTTAGTCCTGGTTTAGTCCTGGTTTAGTCCTGTTTTAGTCCTGGTTTAGTCCTGTTTTAGTCCTGGTTTAGACCTGGTTTAGTCCTGGTTTAGTTCTGGTTTAGACCTGTTTTAGTCCTGGTTTAGTTCTGGTTTAGTCCTGGTTTAGTCCTGGTTTAGTTCTGGTTTAGTCCTGGTTTAGTCCTGATTTAGTCCTGGTTTAGTCCTGGTTTTAGTTCTGGTTTAGTCCTGGTTTAGTCCTGGTTCAGTCCTGGTTTAGACCTGGTTTAGTCCTGATTTAGTCCTGGTTTAGTCCTGGTTTAGTCCTGGTTTAGACCTGTTTTAGTCCTGGTTTAGTTCTGGTTTAGTCCTGGTTTAGTTCTGGTTTAGTCCTGGTTTAGTCCTGGTTTAGTCCTGATTTAGACCTGGTTTAGTCCTGGTTTAGTCCTGGTTTAGTTCTGGTTTAGTCCTGGTTTAGTCCTGATTTAGACCTGTTTTAGTCCTGGTTTAGTCCTGGTTTAGTCCTGGTTTAGTCCTGGTTTAGTCCTGGTTTAGTCCATTATCTGTTTTTTGTTTTTTTCATTTTTCATTTAAACACAAAATTGAAAAGTGAAAAAAACTGAATCATTATCCGTTTTTTCATTTTGGTTTTGGAGACAAATAATGAAAATCGTAGTTTTTTTTCATTTTCCTTTTTTTAATATATTTTTTTCTTTTTTTCTTTCTTATTTTGAAGAACAAATAAACTACTGACACACACAGATCCAGGAGCCACTTCCTCTGTCTGGGTCAAACTTTATGAATATTCAGCGTCTGGGAGTTTCCCGTTCACACTCTGCTGAGTCGGCGGCAGAAACACACAACACGGGACCTGCAGGTTTTTCATCTGGAGTCAAACGGGTCCAGACTCAGATTCAAGCTCCTCTCCTTTTTTTTTTTTTTTGAATGTGGAAAACGAAGT